GGGTTTGGTGCAGATCTGTGGGGTTTGGGTGCAGATCTGTGGGGTTTGGTGCAGATCTGTGGGGTTTGGGTGCAGATCTGTGGGGTTTGTTGCAGATCTGTGGGGTTTGGGTGCAGATCTGTGGGGTTTGGTGCAGATCTGTGGGGTTTGGTGCAGATCTGTGGGGTTTGGGAGCGGCGTTGGCCTCTCTCCTTCCTTTCCCTCGTGCTGCCTTTGCTGCTGTGCTCAGCTCAGCACCTCCAGGTTTTGCCCACAGTGCAGAGGAACCCAAACAAAGGGGTTTTTTTAAGCTTTAAAACCTTCAGATCCTGATTTTTATCCAACTGCAGAAATGTGGGGAACCAGGGGAGAAAAAAGCAAAGGCAGGGAAGGCAGGAAAGAACGCGAGGGGCTCCAGGGGGGCATCAGCAAGGACCAGGCTTGGCCCTTTTCCTGTTCTGTGCCCCATCTCTGTGCTGTGCCCCATCTCTGTGCTGTGCCCCATCTCTGTTCTGTGCCCCATCTCCTTGCTGTGCCCCATCTCTGTGCTGTGCCCCATCTCTGTTCTGTGCCCCATCTCTGTTCTGTGCCCCATCTCCGTTCTGTGCCCCATCTCTGTTCTGTGCCCCATCTCTGTGCTGTGCCCCATCTCTGTGCTGTGCCCCATCTCAGTGCTGTGCCCCATCTCTGTTCTGTGCCCCATCTCTGTGCTGTGCCCCATCTCAGTGCTGTGCCCCATCTCTGTGCTGTGCCCCATCTCTGTTCTGTGCCCCATCTCTGTGCTGTGCCCCATCTCTGTTCTGTGCCCCATCTCTGTGCTGTGCCCCATCTCCTTGCTGTGCCCCATCTCTGTTCTGTGCCCCATCTCTGTTCTGTGCCCCATCTCTGTGCTGTGCCCCATCTCTGTTCTGTGCCCCATCTCTGTGCTGTGCCCCATCTCCTTGCTGTGCCCCATCTCAGTGCTGTGCCCCATCTCTGTTCTGTGCCCCATCTCTGTTCTGTGCCCCATTTCTGTTCTGTGCCCCATCTCTGTGCTGTGCCCCATCTCCTTGCTGTGCCCCATCTCTGTGCTGTGCCCCATCTCTGTTCTGTGCCCCATCTCCTTGCTGTGCCCCATCTCTGTGCTGTGCCCCATCTCCTTGCTGTGCCCCATCTCTGTGCTGTGCCCCATCTCTGTTCCGTGCCCCATCTCTGTTCTGTGCCCCATCTCTGTTCTGTGCCCCATCTCTGTTCTGTGCCCCATCTCTGTGCTGTGCCCCATCTCTGTTCTGTGCCCCATCTCCTTGCTGTGCCCCATCTCTGTGCTGTGCCCCATCTCTGTTCTGTGCCCCATTTCTGTTCTGTGCCCCATCTCTGTTCTGTGCCCCATCTCTGTGCTGTGCCCCATCTCTGTTCTGTGCCCCATCTCTGTGCTGTGCCCCATCTCTGTGCTGTGCCCCATCTCTGTTCTGTGCCCCATCTCAGTGCTGTGCCCCATCTCTGTTCCGTGCCCAGCACAGCTGTGTGGCAGCAGCTGCGGGATGCCGCCCCACACTTTGCTCTCGTTGCCTTCTTGTTGTGATGCCGTATGGGTCGTTAATTGGGGTTGCAGGCCGGGATGTTTTGCAGGCAGCTCTGGGCTGTCGTTGGTCAGCGTCCTGCGCCTGCAGCCGCGCCGTGGAGCTGCTGCGCTCCTGGTTTGCAGGACGGCCGCGTGGCGCCGTGGCCGCAGCTGCTCGCAATGCGGCCGATGGCAGCTCGCTGCTCACTGCGGAATCCCGGCGGGTCGGGGCCGCAGGCGCCCTTTTGTGCGGAAGGGATTTAACGGGACAAACGCCATCGCGAGGGGCCGCTGCCCGAACGCCTCGCCGGCTCCTTGCCTGCTGGCACCGGACCGTGCGCTGCGTCCCGCTTGCTGTCGTTGCCGTCCTGCGCCGTGCGGTGCCGTTCCCAGCCTTGGCGCAGCGTTCAGAGCCCGTCGAAGCGCCTTCAATTCCGTGCCCCCTTCTGCCCAGCCCCGCCGCAGCCCTTGGGGCAGCCTGGAGCCGCGGCTCTGTGCAGCCGTGTCCGTCCGTCCGTCCGTCCGTCCCGCTGTGCCGTCCGCAGCGCTCCGGTTCCTCGGAGAGCTGAAATCTCCGTGTTCCAAGGGAAAAAGCCGGCGCCCAGCGCGGCTCTGGGATCCTCCTGCGTGGTGAATCTGCGAGCGAGGAGGGACGGAGCCCCCGGGGGAACGGAAAGGAAGCGGCGCTGTGCGGAGAGCGGGGCAGGAGGAGGAGCGAAAGGAGGCGGCCGCCGCTGCGCCTCCGCGTGTGCGAGAGCGGCGCGGCGCTGCCGTTGCCCCGCGTCCCAACCGACCTCCTGGACGCCCCCGGGCCCAGATGCTGCTCCTGGCGCACGGCTGCAGGGAGGCGGGGCTGCGAAAAGACGGAGGAATTCGGCTCCTGTTGCCCATTTTGCCCTGGAAGCTCCGTTCTGTCACTGATGCACTCAGGCCTCCGGCATCGGCGCCTCGAGGCAGCGCAGCTCTGTTCTCTGCTGCACATCT